TTGGACTTCTCTGTGCATGCTCTTTGAGGTGGTGACCATAGACCTGCATTATATGACTGACAGACAAGAACGGTTTGAACTAAAAATATCAAAATTGAAAATACTGTGGAAACAAAGACACCTACATCTTGGATGCCCTTGAGGTAAGATAAAGCATATCAAAAATTAATTTCAAAGTGAACTATCCCTTTAACTAGGGATGCACCGATACCGGTATCGGCCTCGATACCACATTTTACCAAGTACTCGTACTCGTTAAAAGTCCCCCAATACCGGGGACCAATACCATGTTCTGAGAAATGGGTTAATCACAGGCGCCGAGTGCCCACCCCCAGGCTCCGGCTGCAGCTCAGAGCGGGGAGATGGGGAGACATGTCAGCCGCGTGGAACAGTGATGCGCGGGTCAATGTATAAACAACCCGCACACTACCAACGTTTTCAACTACCCGCCCGCTACTCGGACCGCAAAAAAAGTAAGAAAATATTGTACCCGACCCGCTTCCTGACCGTATTTTTTAAAAGTAGTACATGCTCATCGTAGCGTCATTGGGCCATAAACGTGTAACAACACAGCATCGCAAGAAGACGTAGCCTACATATAACAAAGCCAGCACTTTGGTCATCATCTTTCATTATTTCGGTAAATGTCTCCCACACTTACTCTTTCTATTTGTGTATTTGCGGAGCTTCCACTCCCCAGTCTCCACCTTTTCTCTTGCCGCCTCCATCTCTCTGCAGACTAGTGATCATAGACATGGCTGGTTCGTGAACGAATCGGTTCTTTTTAATGAACCGGTCGAACCAGTACGCTAAATCGAACTGAATCATTCGCATCAGTTCACGTCTTGCGTCAGACTCAGTGCTGATCCACAAGTTACTACAGTTACTCACTTTCAGACATGCCTGACAGTCCCTCCGAGTTGAAATAAACTAATATCCCGAATTATATTTTACTCCAGTAACTCTAACAGTTCACTGAACTGAGACATGTTGTTGCCACAGCTGAGAGAAGTGATGAGCACGAGCAGCTGATACTGCGCATCCGCGTAGTAACGAATGATGCACAGTAAGTAATAAATTCGGCCTATATATTTCATAGAAAATTGTATCTAGTACTATATAAATACAAAGGTTTAATTGGCATCTTTTTCCAAACGACCTGACCGACCGCGACCCGAATATCATAAAAAATATTTTTGGATGACCCGTAACTGCGGGTAACCGCGGGTGACCGCGGCGCAGGCACCCGCTCATTTTGGATCAACCCGTGCATCACTGGTGTGGAACAATTTCAAAGTGAATGGCTTTGGATTAGGAGAATAAGTTTACTTGTAGTCGCCAAGTTACTTATAGTCAGTTGAATGTCTGTTGGGGGACCAAATAAATAAAGTGTTATCAGATATTAAGCTGATCGTACTAATACTCTAGTCTACTAATACTCTAATGACAGTTAGTTGACATGTAATTGAAAAGTTACTTATAGTTAGTAAAGTGGACTATCGAAATAAAGTGTTACCCAAGTAATTTAATCAAGGACCTAAAAACCCGTATATAAAAATATTTAAATCATGTTTTTTTTTATTTTTTATTAAGTACTCGGTATCGGCGAGTACTGAAATGCAAGTACTCGTACTCGTACTCGTTTTCCAAAAAATCGGTGCATCCCTACCTTTAACGGAGGCTTCAGGGGAGAAATTAACATGTCACCCTGCATCTAGCAATACTTTTAAGAATGGTGGTTATTGTAAAAAAAAAAATTAAATTAATCAACCTTATTCTCAAGTATTGCTCCCTTTAATACATCCAGTTTGGTCACTGTGTATTAATAATTATAATACTACATTTCATTTGTAAAGTGCCTCTCAAACCTCTCAAAGTGCTAATTAAAGATTCATTCATGTTAGAAAACATTTTCTGATAATTCACACACCTTTCGTCAATCTAAAGGAAATTAAAGCTGCAATACCTAAGATTTTATGCCGCTAGAGGGCGCTACATTCAAAACAACAACAATGGCTTTGCTTGATGACGACGTGGAGGAACGTGGAATGATGGGAACTGTTGTTTTCAACTCCACCGTGGAAATCAGTCAGACGGGAATCGAAAATTAGTTGTCATGGATGAGGTAAAGTTCGATTTCTATAAATGTTGCGTTTAATGACATGCTTGTTTTTCATTAAACTGAAATAACCGCAAGAAAAGTAAGGTTTAAAAGTAAATTAGTTATCACAGATGTTACTGTACGAGTCACTGGACGAAGCTATGGTGGAGAGGGTTTGAAGGGGCATTCCAGGTCTCTTGCAAGGAGTTGACGTGGCTGGTCCTTTTTGGTAACTTTATCAAAATAAAAAATCTATTTAATGTACATTTGACACATCTTTTCATGTCGTGTAAGTATTCAGCCACAGTTTCACACAATTAATGTTAAGGGGGTCGCACACCGGACGAGAAGCTCAGCGCCGCGCCACATCTTTAAAATTCGAACACATTATAATATAGAATCTATAAGTGTACTAGGGATGCACGATTTGGGCCAAAATGATCATCACGATTATTTTGATCAATATTGAGATCACGATTAATTTTAACCAAAACAAATGTTATTGTCACATAGGCTAATTATAACTGCTTTCACATCCATATTGTGCTACATTCCTGCTAATGTACAACTATGTGCATTAAAATAAAACAGGTGCTCTCATTCACCAGAATTCAGTGCATATCTTTAAAGAATAAATAAAAATAAAGAAAACAATAAATAAAATGTAGCAGAACTTCAACAGGGCACTATTTTACATTGTGTAAATATATTTTAGGAAGCAAACTATAAACTTGCATTGTACCTGCATAATGTGAATAAAACGTGCAAAATATACAATCAGTAAAAAAAAACAAATATTCCATAACAGAATGTAACCAAATGAGAACATGTCAAGGCAGAACTATGCATGGAAGTTCGATTAATGGATGAGTCATTGTTATTTGACACTTAAAAAATGGAAAATGTTGTGGTACAGTGTTAGTGATTAGTTGTGAAGTCTTACTGCATACATTTAATCTATTTAATCCTCCATATGAAAGTTCATGTGGTCGAATTATTTCTATTTATTAAACAATAGTTCAAAACAAGACGTTTGTATTAGCCTACTGATTATTGGAGTCCATTAATCGAACTTTCATGCCTCTTATATAGTAATTATATATTACTACGTAGTATTTATATACCGATTTATTTTTTAAATTAACATTTCAAAAATAAAATAAAAAAACGGACGAAACACGCTTCAACCATGTCATGAGTGTTGGAGTTGTATAGTTTGTCCACCAGAGGGCACTCTACACCGTCCCTGTCAGCAACACTCGTGTATAACATGCCACACATCCTGTGCATAAAAGTTAGATTTTCTTTTACACGTGTGTGTGAAATCCAACGATGCCAAGTGTGCGCTGCAGACTTGTTTCTGTTTTATAAGAAAAGTTTCTTTTTAAAACGCATTATCATATTATTTTAGTTAAAACTAGTTTAAATAACTACAAATAACTAGGGAAATCTGTTAATGTTTTGTTGCGCGTTTGTGAAAAAAATTAAAATATCGGATTTTAAAACCAACAAATATTTGTATCGGTATCGGCCTTCAAAATCCTTTATCGGTCGGGCTCTACTCCAAATAGTGGATCTCAAGGGGGTCCAATGGTTTCAAGGACATGAAGATCTTGGATAACGTGGGGGTGAATAAATCATCATGAAATTTTAATTCTGAAATGAACTAATCATTTAAGGTAGAGATAACAGCTTATAGTCTGGCAGACAGTGTTTCACATTTATCTACATTGATACGAGTTAGAAGTTGGCACACTGTGTTGAGTTTTCATTTGGTTTTGGAATGTTTTACAAAGAACAGCCTTACTGACACCCTAATGGTTAACACTTTTCAGTTATGTGGCACCAAAGACTAATTTTTTGTGAAAATAACAAGTTTGATTTTAACAGTATTACCGACTGTATGTAATGGGAATGTAACAGGCAGTAACGATATGCTGGCTGTTGTCTTCACATTCGCTGCCAGTATAGATAAGGCAAGGTGCTCTAAGCGATGTTGGTTGTTGTCCCTTCTTGTTGTTTGTATTGTATTCACAGTATTGTCAAACGAAACGGAGGCTAGCTTGACCCTTCCTCCTCCTCATCCGCGCACGAACCCCCAAATCCTTCTTGTGTGTTAATGGCTAAAACATGTTTTGGCCTAAAAAACCACATGTGACATTGCTTAGAGCACATTTAAGTAGACAGATTATTTGATTCTAACAGCGAGCGAAATGTTTTTTGCATAGAACCTGGCTAGAATCGACACTTAAAACGTAAACATGGAAAAAGAGATGCACTTACTGTACTTAGCTTAAGATTTGTGCAACGAGAGAAGTGCATTAAGTGCATTGACTGCATAGCTGAAAGGGATAGTTCACCCGAAAATTAAAATTAGCACATGAATTACTCACCCTGAAGCCCTTCTAGTCGTAAATGACATTCTTCTTTCAGACGAATATAGTCGGATCTATATAAAAAATGTCCTGGCTCTTCCAAGCTTTAGAATGGCAGTGGATGAGTATATATTTCCATAAAGTCCATAAAAGCGCATCCATCCATGATAAAAGTGCTCCACACGTCTCTGTGGTTAATAAAGGCCTTCTGAAGTGAAGCGGTGTGCTGGTGTAAGAAAAATATCCATATTTAAAACTTTATTGACTAAAATAACTATCTTTCGGCAGACGGCCATTTTACGCCAAGAGTCACACTTGAACTTGACGCACGATATGATGACGAACACGGTTGCCCAGCCCGTGTTTTTTTTCTTTTTAAGTTCAAGTGTTACTATTTTGATGTAGGCGTCTGCCGTAAACTAGTTATATTAGTTGATAAAGTTCTAAATATGGATATTTTTCTTACACAAATGCATCGCTTCACTTCAGAAGGCGTTTATTAACCCGCCAGAGCTGTTAAGAGCACTTTTATCATGGGTGAATGCACTTTGATGGACTTCCAAAAAACACTTGGCATCCCTGTGTCGGCAAGATGACTCATAAGTCAGCAGATCTGTCAGAATCAGGGACTTGATGTATTTCGACACCTTTCTTCTGGAAGAAAATACAGATTTATAATTAGGATTAATGCTTTTAGTGACACCCCCAAAAAAAATACAAGACAGCAGAGAATGCTACTTTGTAAAATTTAAATCTGGCTATTTTTTGTGTGTGTGTGTGTGTGTGGGTGGGGGGGGGGGGGGGGGGGGTTGACACTGTCCAAGTTGTGCTTCCATAGTGATTAAAAAAGGACTATTCAAAGGGTGTATTAAATGTTACAACCGGTTTTAGCATTCTATGTTAAATATTTATAATATAAAAAAAAAAAATTCACACCACTGTTCTTCATTCTAAAGTAAAAAGTCATTAATAGTCAGTTATTATATTTATGTTATCTCTTAAACCACTTCTCATATGTCAGTATATTGTAAACTCAGTGTTTTGCAGACTCAGTGCTCAAATATCTCCATGGGCCGGTTGCAGCAGCTAAACTAAACTCAACGCAAAATGCAATGGCAATGGCGTGTAATGAGAAACCGCTTCAATCCTCTAAATACATACAGTATAGAAATAGATAACTTATTTAAAATTATGCACTGAAGTGACAACACGTAACAGCTCAATCGGAGTCATTTAATTTTCTTTTTCCCGGCTCACCACGACTCATTTTTCATCTATTCGTCAGAGCAAATAAATGTGTAACCATAGTAACTAGGGCTGGGTATTGAGACAAATTTCACAATTCGATTCAATTTCGATTCACAAGCTTGCAATTCGATTCGATTTCGATTACGATTCGATTCAATATCGATTATTTTGGATATCAGTTACAATAAATGGCAAATTTTCTCAAGGGAATCAAATCTCTTAAATGCTGTAAACTATGGTCTATATATACAGTATAGTCTAGTTGTAGCCTACTAGGCTTCATTAGCCTAATATGAAGGTAATAATTAACTGTTTTATAGCTATACAAACACTTAAATTATACTTTTATTTATTTTTATAATAAGATTATATGAAATATAAACATTTAAATGGTGGCTGTCATAAAAACTCGCTTCAAATATGGATTAAATATTGAAGAACACTAACGAGTGTGGACTAACGAGTTAATGTGGGTTTTCTGAGGTAAATATGACGATACATGACATTGATTACAAGCTGTTTAATTGACGTCTTTCCACGGATGAAACGCAGTTTGAGCGAATCAATGTGACATGATAGGGATTTAGATAAGTTGTACTCTATCTTTTAACACACTTTCAGATGCTCATTCATGTTTATTTCGCGCTGTAACTGGTATTATTAACCCGGAAGAGAGATCACCCCTGCTGCTTCTCTGGAGCTGCGCCAGAGCGATCTCACGCCACAGCGCCAAAACGGCAAAACGCTTTTTATGTTTTTGAATTTCTAAAGAAAATGGACGTAATTTGAAAATTGAGACTTTGTTTCATATCAATAGTAACAAAGGACAAAGATTATTGCGATTTGTTGGATGCGCGCAGCCGTGATACAATGTCCCATTCATTCAAACGAAACAGGATGACTAATCGATTCTTGAGATTTAAGAATCGATATCGGTTTGTAAAAATGAGAATCGATTAATATCGAGAAATCGATATTTATTACCCAGCCCTAATAGTAATGATAACAGCATCTCCCCTATCAGCGTGTACATGCATACTAGTCTATGCTAAGTGTAGCTGCGCCTAGTCCTAGTTTTATATGGTGTAACAGGTGTATATATTAATCGGAAAGCTGGACGTGACTAAGCTGACACCCAACTTTTTTTTACATCCAGCAGGTGCAACCGGCCCATGATCACTGGGCTGCTTCCTGATGCCTGAACAACAAGCCCAATTAAACAATTTTTTTTTTGTTTAATTAGAACAAAAAATGCAATTTAAGAATTCTTTACATGCTTAATTTCCTATTTCTGTCTTGTTAAATCAGATGTTTAATTCTCACCTTTTATTCTTGCTCCAGCAATGACCGCCAGGACAACAACAACCACAGCAACAACTATCCCTGCTATAGCACCTCCGGTCAGACCTGAACCTGGACCAGCTGGAGACAGAAAGTCATCATTATTACTAGAGATCAGTGTTGTTTTGATTGCATTTGAAGCAGGAGGTTCTACATCCAATCACAAATGTGGTTGATACGAGACATGACTGAGACTATCAAAGAATGGTGCAGATAATTAGCATTACCTATAATATGTTACAACATTGTGTAAAAGCTCTCTTGAATTGATTTAAAACATTGAAGTGTATTTTAAAATGCATTGAATTACGCTCAACAATGACTGAAACCCTGAAGCTCTTCTCAATGGTGATACCGCGACGACGACGGATGCTGAAGTCGCTGCTGTTGATGCTGTTGATCTGCAGTTTATATTCTCCAGAGTCTGTGTTTCTGGTGTTCGTGATGGTCAGAGATCCAGTCTGATGATTCAGCTTCAGTCTGTCTCTAAATCTCTCTTTACACTGATCATCTGTACAGATCTTACTCTGATCTCCAGTGATTTCAGCTAAACGACTGCCATTGAAGGACCATGTCATAAAATCATTAGCTTGTCTTACTACATCAGGATCTAAAGTAACAGATTGTCCCTCCTTCACTTTTTTTCTCTTCACAGCATCTCGCTCAACAGCAGAAACACCTGAAAGACAAACCAACAGATGATTGAAGGAGCTTTTGCTGAAAACAAACTACACAACATGAGAGAGCTGTGAACATGAATATTTTAAATCTGACCAGCAAGATTTTCCAACTTTCATGATTATGAACATTTTACATAATTATTTAATATTTATCTAAGAGAAACTCATCGGAGATTGTAAAAGAAACTCCGTATTACCAGAGCACAACTGCAAAACTGAGATCATCGCTGATAATGATTCACTGAACCAAATTTGTAGCTAAATTTTGTTTTTATTCTTGTAATAGATTTTTTTTAGCAATGATCTGCATTCTGTGTGAGTATAAATATACATGTAAAGAAAATAAACTCTCATAATGACTCACCATGAACAGCAACACTGAAGATCTTTTCAATGTTATTGCTGCTGATATATAGTTTATATTCTCCAGAGTCTGATGTCCTGGTGTTTGTGATGGTCAGAGATCCAGTCTGATTATCCAGCTTCAGTCTGTCTCTGAATCTCTCATCACCATCTTTACACTGAACATCTGTACAGGACTTATTGAGATTTCCATTGATCTGAGCGATGCGAGTGTCTTTAAAATACCATTTAATATCTTGTTGCTGGTTTGTTTGAACACCAGTGTTTAGAGTGACTGAATCTCCCTCCATCACGGACACTGCCTCTGTATCAACACCAGACACACCTGCAGAAGAAATGAACAGTGAATTGTTATTTAAACTAAAAACTACAGGAAAGTGATTTGAAAATGTAGAACCCATTATATATTATACATAATAAAGATTGTGTGTCTGGATTCATAACTAATGCAAACAAAGCAGAAGATCATCATCATCGGACACTTATAAACGAGACTTATGGACGATCTTAAAAGTGCATTGTGTAATATTTAAGAGGATCTGTTGACAGAACTGCAATATCATATAGATAACTTTGTTTTATTACCTTAGAATCAGCCATTTATATCTACATACTTGCATTAAAATAGCAAATTTGCGACACCATGTTTCTACAGTGGACCTAAACAGACAAATGTGTTTTGTGTCACTATGTTGTTCTTCGTGCTAAAGTCAGCGAATAAAACACTGACACAATGATGAACAAGTGACAATAATATTCACAATAACATATCATTTTATTGAATAATGTACTAAACAATCTCTTAATTTATCCTTGTAAAGAAACCACATTGCTGGCTACTCCGTTATCTCAGATGATGAAATAGTTTCCTGTCGGCCACCGTAACTTAAGTTGGCTGCAATTTGCAACCTCACTACTAGATGCCTCTAAAGATTAGATTACACCGTGTACCTTTAACTTCATAACCATCATTTCATGTTTGCAAGGCATGTGTACTCATTAAATCCTTATTTTGAGCCAAATAATCAAGCTGACATTCCGTACAATCTGTATATTTTATTTAGAATACAAAAAAATGCCATTTACGTCTTTTAGTTTGTCTAGAGATTGATGAAAAGTTAGCATGTGCCAATGTGCTCTTCTATGCAAGAACGAGCCTATCATTGAATCTGGAAATAAAGCAAAATAACTGAGCAATTACGCCGCGTCCGTAATTTATAGCAAAACATCTAGCATTGATATTTAATCTCACTTTCGAAACACACTGATCAAAATACAAATAATAAATACATTAACAAATATAATGTGATCATAGCTATTACAAAATTAACACAGAAGAGAGACTGTAACACTTAAAGACTTACCATATAAAACTAAAAGAGTTAGGGCTATGGGCTTCATTTCCATGACTACTACTACTACTTCTTCTTCTTCTTCTTCCTGCTATTTTACGGTGGTTGGCGTCCAGCTTATTGTTGCATTTCCTGCACCTTCTGCTCCAAAGTCTGAATCAGAAAATAGGTTTACATATTAAACCACTAAGTAGGGGTGTAACGATACCCTCATGTCACGATTCGATACATATCACGAGACTGAACTCACTATACACAATATTATTGCGATACTCCAAGACATATGGTAAAAGGTGAACAAGAATGTACTGTTGATTAAAATGAAAAGTTTGATATTACATTGCAGGTTTAAATGAATGGGCTTGGACTTGGTGCTTGTAACCCAAGGACAATAGAGTGCCGAAGTGATGACGTCACTTTGTAGGACAACTCGGAAGTTAGCGGCGCATGGGTTCCCTCAGTCGAAAAGCAATGCATTTTCCCCATAGACTTTTGGAAAAATCGCAAAAATATAAGATCTGTGTTTAACAAAGAGTTGTGACCCTTACACGTTTTGTCTATCAAGATAATCTTTACAAGTTAATCCAAAATGTATACATTTTGAATCCTATATAAAAAAATAAAAAATAAAAAACACAAGCAGACACAATAAAGTTTAAAAAAACCACAAGCAGGTTATAACTGTGTTTTATGTCATAGATCAAAATGTGAAAATATTTAGAGGCTTTGTTCACCACAGACCTTATTTCAGGCGATTTAGCAAAAACCCATTCAAAAATCCCATAGACTTTAGAGTGAGGGAACCAGGAGTGCTAAAATGCTAACTCACTTCCGCGCTTTGGCCCACAGAGTGACGTCGTAACTTCGGCACTCTACGGTGACTGAACGAGCGTGTGGGATGCTCAAAGGGTTCAATAAAGTAGTAGAAACCCAGATAGCAAACTGACATTGAATCAACGTGGAAACATGACATCGAAACAACGTTGATCTGACACTGTTTTGCTCATCGAATTAACGTTGAAAATCAACTTGAAATCAACGTTGTTTCAACGTTATGAAAGCAAACCAATTTTCGATTTAGCTTTGAAGAATGCCGCGTCTGACGTTGGTTCAACGTTAATTCGATGAGCAAAATTAACGTTGTTTCGATGTCATGAGAGACGTCGTTTCCACGTTGATTCAATGTCAGTTTGCTGTCTGGGAATGGTGGTTTATCATCGGTATGTGTCGTCTAAAATGAACAGAAAACAAAATACAATATAAATTTGCTTGTATAAACAGTATTACAGATAGCACACATAATTTAGCTTACGTTTCTGAATTATACTGCAGAACATAAACAACTGAACAGTATCTAACTAGTTTCAATTCAACTTTACATGGACTTGGTTAACATGCAATTCACACGGAAATATAATTATTAGGGGTTCAAGCACGAAGTGCTGAAACCCTATTGTAATTGTATTGATTTTTAGGGGTTCAAGCACGAAGTGCTGAAACCCTATTGTTTTTGTACTGATTTTTATTAGGGGTTCAAGCACGAAGTGCTGAAACCCTATTGTTTTTGTACTGATTTTTATTATTAGGGGTTCAAGCACGAAGTGCTGAAACCCTATTGTTTTTGTACTGATTTTTATTATTATTATTATTCTCCCCTAAAACGCATCGTGCAGCCCAAACCGTAAGGGCTAGAGCTCTGAAACTTTGTCAGATGGTAGTACAAAAATCGAGGAGAGGTTATCAAATTATGAGCCCGATTGGCCCATAGGTGGCGCTATAACAACCAATTGCGCAAAACTGCTCATAACTCCTAGACCGTAAGTCGTACACTCAAGTGTCTTATATCATTGGAAAGCTATTCACCTGACGAAAAAAACGTATATCTCCGATTTCATTTCCGGTATGCAAATTTTTCCGCCATTTTGAATTTTGTTGAAAAACTACTTTTGCAAACTAGTCCCTGGTTTTTTACCCGATTGGAACCAAACCAGTGCAGAAATGTTCTCTGGAGTCTGAAGATCAATAATTATCAAAAAAATGTTGAAATTTCTCGTTCCGGTCGCTAGGGGAAGCAAAATAAACGTTGTGGGAGGAGCCTATTTTACTAAAATGGCTATAACTCGAGAAGTATATGAGATATCTTCACCAAACTTGGTACACATGTGTAAGAGTTCAACTTGAGGTCACAGTAAAAAAATAGCGACGATTGAACACTAGGTGGCGCTATAATATGAAAAAAACATAAAAAGGGCTATGACCACATGACCGTTAGTCCGATTGACTTGAAAATTGATATGCAGTGTCTTGGACCAAGGCCCCATGTATATCTATGAGGACATTTGCGTATCTAAAAAAACATGGCCGCCATCGGCCAATGAAGTTTGTGCATCTATGAAACAAGGTTAACGAAGGCCGATCGGAACGAAACTCGTTGGGCATGTTTGACTCATGGCCCTAGAGGTCTGTAAGAATTTTGAAAGAAATCGGCCACTAGTTGGCGCTAACGAGTTTTATGGCTCTGTTATCACGTGGTGTTGCACACACCCCCACAATATGTATATCAATTGATAGATCTCCTCACGCTGAACAACTTTGCCTCAAGAACCATTGCTGTCAATCAAATCGTTCGTTAAATATTCACGAATATGTTAAAAACGTACTTTTGCGAACTAGTCCCTGGTTTTTTTGCCGGATCGGAACCAGACCAGTCTGGGACAATTCTTTGGACTCTCTAGATCAATTATTATCAAAAAAAGTTGAACTTTGTCATTTGTTTTGCTATAACAGGGTCATTAATAAAAGGGGGCATGACAAAAAGCACCCAAAAGCCTATAAATCCTAAAGGAAAAGTCAGAACTTCACAAAAATTGATGAGCACATGTGTCATAACTTATTCAACAAGCATGCAAAGTTTCATGGAGATCGGACTATAGGTGGCGCTATAACTGTTAAAAATGTTAAAAACAATGTATTCCCTATGGTAAATTGCCATTATTGAAACTTAAACCTTAATGTCTTTTGATGCTTTTGTGCTTAAAGGCCTTAAAGGCCTAAACTGCTTGAACCCCGCTAAATGCTGCTTGCAGCTTTAATTATTATTATTATTCTCCCCTAAAACGCATCGTGCAGCCCAAACCGTAAGTGCTGGAGCTCTGAAACTTTGTCAGATGGTAGTACAAAAATCGAGGAGAGGTTATCAAATTATGACCCCGATTGGCCCATAGGTGGCGCTATAGCAACCAATTGCGCGAAACTGCTCATAACTCCTAGACCGTAAGTCGTACACAGAAGTGTCTTATATCATTGGAAAGCTGCTCACCTGATGAAAAAAATGTTTATCTCCGATTTCATTTCCGTCATGATAGATTTTCCGTCATTTTGAATTTTGTCTAAAACTACTTTTGCGAACTAGTCCCTGGTTTTTTACCCGATTGGAACCAAACCAGTGCAGAAATGTTCTCTGGAGTCTGAAGATCAATAATTATCAAAAAAATGTTGAAATTTCTCGTTCTGGTCGCTAGGGGAAGCAAAATAAACGTTGTGGGAGGAGCCTATTTTACTAAAATGGCTATAACTCGAGAAGTAAATGAGATATCTTCACCAAACTCGGTACACATGTGTAAGAGTTCAATTTGAGGTCACAGTAAAAAAATCGCGACGATTGAACACTAGGTGGCGCTATAACATGAAAAAACATAAAAAGGGCTATGACCACATGACCGTTAGTCCGATTGACTTGAAAATTTGTATGCAGTGTCTTGGACCAAGGCCCCATGTAGATCTATGAGGAAATTGGCGTATCTAAAAAAACATGGCCGCCATCGGCCAATGAAGTTTGAGCATCGATGAGACAAGGTTAACGAAGGCCGATCGGAACGAAACTCGTTGGGCATGTTTGACTCATGGCCCTAGAGGTCTGTAAGAATTTTGAAAGAAATCGGCCACTAGTTGGCGCTAACGAGTTTTATGGCTCTGTTATCACGTGATGTTGCACACACCCCCACAATATGTATATCAATTGATAGATCTCCTCATGCTGAACAACTTTGCCTCAAGAACTATTGCTGTCAATCAAATCGTTCGTTTAATATTCACGAATATGTTAAAAACGTACTTTTGCGAACTAGTCCCTGGTTTTTTGCCGGATCGGAACCAGACCAGTCTAGGACAATTCTTTGGACTCTCTAGATCAATAATTATCAAAAAAAAGTTGAAGTTTGTCATTTGTTTTGCTATAACAGGGTCATTTATAAAAGGGGGCATGACAAAATGCACCCAAAAGCCTATAAATTCTAAAGGAAAAGTCAGAACTTCACAAAAATTGTTGAGCACATGTGTCATAACTTATTCAACAAGCATGCAAAGTTTCATGGAGATCGGACTATAGGTGGCGCTATAACTGTTAAAAATGTTAAAAACAATGTATTCCCTATGGTAAATTGCCATTATTGAAACTTAAACCTTAATGTCTTTTGATGCTTTTGTGCTTAAAGGCCTTAACGGCCTAAACTGCTTGAACCCCGCTAAATGCTGCTTGCAGCTTTAATTAGGGGTTCAAGCACGAAGTGCTGAAACCCTATTGTTTTTGTACTGATTTTTATTATTATTATTATTATTATTATTATTATTATTATTCCCCTAAAACGCATCGTGCAGCCCAAACCGTAAGTGCTGGAGCTCTGAAACTTTGTCAGATGGTAGTACAAAAATCGAGGAGAGGTTATCAAATTATGACCCCGATTGGCCCATAGGTGGCGCTATAGCAACCAATTGCGCGAAACTGCTCATAACTCCTAGACCGTAAGTCGTACGCTCAAGTGTCTTATATCATTGGAAAGCTGGTCACCTGACGAAAAAAACGTATATCTCCGATTTCATTTCCGTCATGATAGATTTTCCGTCATTTTGAATTTTGTCGAAAAACTACTTTTGCGAACTAGTCCCTGGTTTTTTGCCCGATCGGAATCAAACCAGTGCAGGAATGTTCTCTGGAGTCTGAAGATCAATAATTATCAAAAAAATGTTGAAAAAGTCTCTTTGCGGTCGCTAGGGGGCGCAAAATAAATGTTGTGGGAGGAGCCTATTTTACTAAAATGGCTATAACTCGAGAAGTAAATGAGATATCCTCACAAACTCGGTACACATATGTATAAGCTCAATTTGAGGTCACAGTAAAAAAATCGCCACGATGGAACACTAGGTGGCGCTATAAAACGAATAAAACTAAAAAAGAGCTCTGACCAGCTGACCGTTAGTCCGATTGACTTGAAAATTGGTATGCAGTGTCTTTGTCCAATGCCCCATGTATGTGTATGAGGACATTGGTGTATCTCAAAAAACATGGCCGCCATCGGCCAATGAAGTTTGAGCACCTATAAAACAAGGTTAACGAAGGCCGATCGGAACGAAACTCGTTGGGCATGTTTGACTCATGCCCTTAGAGGTCTGTAAGAATTTTGAAAGAAATCGGCCACTAGTTGGCGCTAACGAGTTTTATGGCTCTGTTATCACGTGGTGTTGCACACACCCCCACAATATGTATATCAATTGATAGATCTCCTCATGCTGAACAACTTTGCCTCAAGAACCATTGCTGTCAATCAAATCGTTCGTTAAATATTCACGAATATGTTAAAAACCTACTTTTGCGAACTAGTCCCTGGTTTTTTGCCCGATCGGAACCAGACCAGTCTGGGACAATTCTTTGGACTCTCTAGATCAATAATTATCAAAAAAAGTTGAACTTTGTCTTTTGTTTTGCTATAACAGGGTCATTTAAAAAAGGGGGCATGACAAAATGCACCCAAAAGCCTATAAATCCTAAAGGAAAAGTCAGAACTTCACAAAAATTGATGAGCATATGTGTCATAACG